CCAGGGTTTCGGTAGCCCCTTCTTCATCGCATTTTCTGCAGTTACCACTGTTGGTGATGCCTAGTTTAACTGCGTGTGCTGCAGTTAGACAGTGTCCTGTGAGTATTCCCACTAGCATTCTGCAGTCCTTCCGTGGAAGGTGCAGTAAGTAGTGGCTAAGTTTACCATTGCGCTCCTTGCACATGGTTCTCGAGATTCTCCAGGTGGTGGTACTCTTCCACCGGCTTCTGGCCTTCTTGTCCGCTTGTTTCTCCAGAGCGCTTTGTAGCGTTCTAAGGGAGACAGGCACGTTCTCGGTTCTGTCAATGGCCAACCCGACGCCTTCCTTAGCCAGTACATCCGCTGTCTCGTTACCTTCGATGCCCTGGTGGCTGGGAACCCAATAGATCCGCACTGGATTTGTCGTGGTTAGGTAGTCTAATGCTTCCCTGCTCGCCAGGACGTTTCTGAACCTGACCGCTGACGACTGCATGGATCTTATCGCCGCCTGGCTGTCCACGAACAGGTTTACCACGCCGTGTGAACGATCGATGGACTGAGCCGCCTCCGCCGCTTTCCGTATTGCATAGACTTCCGCCTGGAATATGCTGCATTGGCCCGGTTGCTTATAGGACAGCCTTATCTCAAGCTCTGTACAGTATATGCCCGCTCCTACTCCTCCTTCCATCTTGGAGCCGTCGGTGTAAATGTTGAGGTGTTGAGTCTGGTCCCGACCCCTTTTCCAGTCGTCGGGTCCCATAAATGAGGTTGTGTTTACGTCCAGGCAAGTTTGGGGGATCATGTAGTCAGATATTTTGGTCATGTCTCGGCCAATTGAACTGTGCCCGAATTCCTGTAGAGACATGTTTCTTGATGCTACTAAGCGTTGAGCGTGGATGTCCAGGGGGTCGATTCCGATTATGGTTTCGAGTGCTTTTGATGGAGTTGACCTCAGCGCCCCCGTAATGCAAAGCAGTGCCTGCCGCTGGGTCCTTTCCATAAGCTTATTGTACGTCGTCTTTTCCGTCGCTTGCCACCACACTAAGACTCCATACAGCAGAGTCGGTCGCACCACCGAGATGTAGATCCAGTGCATTAGAGCACGTTACAGGCCCCATGTACTGCTGAGCATCTTCTTGGATGCATATAGCGCAATGGTGGCCTTCTTCACCCTTTCCAAAACATTGGGCCTACACGCCAGCTTGCTGTCCAGTACTATGCCGAGGTATTTGACTTGTGTTTCGGGGTAAGCCTGGTTTTTTCAATTTACGGTGGGATCCATGCCGGTACCTTGTATCTCTTGGTAAAGAGGATGAGGTCCGTCTTGTCCGCGTTGATACTGAGTCCTACTTTTTCCGCTCACTCACATATCTCCCTTAGTGTTGATTCCATTATGGAGCTTAGAGTCGATGGACATACTCCCGTAATAATTATGCTTATGTCATCCGCATAAGCTGTTATTTTTGGGGATCTCTTTTCGAATCTCTTTATTAGGTCGTCGACCACCAGGTTCCACAGGAGGGGCGAGAGGACCCCACCCTGAGGTGTTCCTCTGTGTGCCCCTTTCACCAAGGAAGCGGTCCAGAGGTTGATTGCGGGATGCGTGTTGGTCGCTTCTAGGCGGTCCATTATCGCATTTTTATTCACGTTGTTGAATGCTCCAAAGGCAGGAAAGGGCCCTTGCTCCATGGCAAAGAGGAGCTCCCCCGACGCTATCTTACTTTTGTGGAGGTTGAGCTGGAGCACACTCACCATGTGCGTCTGGCTCAGCTCCACTCGACGGGTTGACTACTACCGTCAGGTCACCGTCCTCCTCCTCCTCCTCCAAGTCCATCGCAAGACCCTGTGCGGCTTCCACGATGTTATCCAGACCAAGGACCTTCTCCACCTCGCTCGCCTGCAGAGTGTGCGCATCTTTATCCTCGGGGTGGCGCTTTTTCAGCCGCAGGTACACACTGCCCATCCCCCACGCCATCTTCCCGAATCTTGGGTACAGCAGGTCCTCTGCCTCATTGCTGATCTGGATGATCGCACTCTGGCCCCCCTCATTGGGTAGTGGGCTCCTGATATGCAAAATCCTCCAGTTCGACGTGGGCACATCAGGGTTCTGCCGCTGTAGCAGCTTCAGCGCACGGTCCCCTTGGATTACGATGGGGAAGAGTACCTTTGCCTTTGGTATGGATGGGATTAGCTCCCTGTCCACCACCTCCAGCTTGGCCCCCTCCCGAAGCGCCACGAGCCGCCGTTATTTTGCCGTTCTCGTCGCTCCGGTCAATGAGTACCACGATTAAGTATCGTTTGGTCACCTCACTGACTTTCGATTTTTGGGGTCTCTTCGCCTGTTTGGGTGTGGGGCCTGCCACCTTGGGCCCGTGTTGCCGCTTGCTCACCGGAGTGTCCTTGATGGCACTCTCGGTCGAGCGTTGCCTTTTGGTGGCGAGACTCTCCTCCACCTTGTTGGCAAATCCCTCCGTCGATGCCTTCATCTGCGGCATCTGCGCGAAGTGCAGCCGTCCCTCTTGTATCCGTTGCTCGGCCCAGGTCATTTTGGCCGTCTCCTCTTCAGAGCGGTCCTTCCTGCCCTGGAGCCGGCCCATGATCTTGAGGGCCGCTTTGTGCTGGGCCTTCGCCTTCAACCCCTCCTTGGAACGCTTCGGCCCTTCCCTACGCAGGGAGCTGGAACCTGGTTCCGGGGAGCGGAGAAGGCTATCTTCCTCCGTCTTGGTTACCGAGAGCACGCTCTCCAGGTCCGAGTCTGTATCGACCACGGCACCTGTGCGGCTCAACTTGTAGTGAGTCGTTTTTGTGGCAGTAGCATTGCAACTGATATGACCTGCTCCCGCCATATCAGAGGTGTGGCCGCTGGCGACACGCAGAGAGGATTGCTCCTCCCCGTGCCCGTGACTGTAACTTATGTACAAAAATATTGTGCAAACGCCGTCGGGTTTCGACTTCGTTGCTGCCGTAATATTATGTTTTTCAGATTCTGTAAAGCAAGTGATTTGAACTAAAATATTTTTATATATGTATTTACATATGTTCACAGCGCGTTTGCTTTGTGCGTTGTTTTTTATTCACCTCTGTGCTAGATCTAGTTGCTGGAAGAATCATTTGAAATTGTGTTGTGATCAATTAATTAAAAAGTGAGAAATAACCCTCCTAATTAATAAATTAAGCGCCATAAAACAGGTACGTGACAAGATATTACATATTTTGAATAAAATGATGAGCAAAAGGCATTTGCGTTGAATCCGAAGGAGTGAGAGGGAATCGAACCTTGAAAAGTTAGCGTCGTGCTGTGAAATAAAAGTGGAACAAAAATTGGTAGAAAAAGAATTAGAAGAAACTGGAATTCAGATAGAACAGGAAGAATTAGTTTATGAGGAAATTCAACCAAATAAATCGTCATTAAATATGTACTTTCAGAAAATCTACAGCAGGAGAATGCCGTTTTTCGTGGTAAGACTAATAAAGATTAATATTTGTATTAGCAAAATTAATACCAAAATTCCTTTCAGATTAATTAAACGTCCTTGAAAAAATATTAGCTGACCAAACAGTTTTAATAAAACAGCTTACAAAGGAGAAGGGCGATATGAATTCTGTTCGGGACCAGTTCCCGATTGCAACGGACGAGCAGTTGATGAAAATGGAGGAGAATGTTAAAATCAATAGAGACATTTATGGAAGTAAATTAAAACTCTAAATAATATGACCTAATCATTTTCTAATCCTTCTTTTTGAATCCTTCTATTTACAGATTTAAACAATAAAATCCATTTTACAGCCAGCTGGAGTGCTCGTCAACTTAAAGCTCATTTTAGGTGACGAAATCGTACTGGCGTATAATGTGGATGGGGTCCAAGGAAAGAAAGCCCTCAGGAGCCACTCGGAGTTTTATGGAGCTTTTCTAGGTAAAGTACCAATTACACTACTAGTGTTTATTATATTTTAATTAAACTAAACATATAATTATCACAGAATGTATTCCGCCTGGAGACGAAGCACCGGAAATGCTGATGAGCAAAGCTATGCAAAGGGTTAACAAAAAGAGTTTTAAAGCTAAAGTGCACCAAACCCTAAAAAAATGAATTAGAGACTGTGTAGGCTAGGCTAGATTTTAATATATATTTTAGTTTTGAATTTTTTATTAATCATTCATATAACACAATTTTGTATTTTATTATCGGTCCATTATCGCATTTTTATTCACGTTGTTGAATGCTCCAAAGGCAGGAAAGGGCCCTTGCTCCATGGCAAAGAGGAGCTCCCCCGACGCTATCTTACTTTTGTGGAGGTTGAGCTGGAGCACACTCACCATGTGCGTCTGGCTCAGCTCCACTCGACGGGTTGACTACTACCGTCAGGTCACCGTCCTCCTCCTCCTCCTCCAAGTCCATCGCAAGACCCTGTGCGGCTTCCACGATGTTATCCAGACCAAGGACCTTCTCCACCTCGCTCGCCTGCAGAGTGTGCGCATCTTTATCCTCGGGGTGGCGCTTTTTCAGCCGCAGGTACACACTGCCCATCCCCCACGCCATCTTCCCGAATCTTGGGTACAGCAGGTCCTCTGCCTCATTGCTGATCTGGATGATCGCACTCTGGCCCCCCTCATTGGGTAGTGGGCTCCTGATATGCAAAATCCTCCAGTTCGACGTGGGCACATCAGGGTTCTGCCGCTGTAGCAGCTTCAGCGCACGGTCCCCTTGGATTACGATGGGGAAGAGTACCTTTGCCTTTGGTATGGACGGGATTAGCTCCCTGTCCACCACCTCCAGCTTGGCCCCCTCCCGAAGCGCCACGAGCCGCCGTTATTTTGCCGTTCTCGTCGCTCCGGTCAATGAGTACCACGATTAAGTATCGTTTGGTCACCTCACTGACTTTCGATTTTTGGGGTCTCTTCGCCTGTTTGGGTGTGGGGCCTGCCACCTTGGGCCCGTGTTGCCGCTTGCTCACCGGAGTGTCCTTGATGGCACTCTCGGTCGAGCGTTGCCTTTTGGTGGCGAGACTCTCCTCCACCTTGTTGGCAAATCCCTCCGTCGATGCCTTCATCTGCGGCATCTGCGCGAAGTGCAGCCGTCCCTCTTGTATCCGTTGCTCGGCCCAGGTCATTTTGGCCGTCTCCTCTTCAGAGCGGTCCTTCCTGCCCTGGAGCCGGCCCATGATGGGCCCCTGGGGCCCCTGGGCCCATGGCACGAGCAGTTGTTGAAAATGGAGGAGAATGTTAAAATCAATAGAGACATTTATGGAAGTAAATTAAAACTCTAAATAATATGACCTAATCATTTTCTAATCCTTCTTTTTGAATCCTTCTATTTACAGATTTAAACAATTAAATCCATTTTACAGCCAGCTGGAGTGCTCGTCAACTTAAAGCTCATTTTAAGTGACGAAATCGTACTGGCGTATAATGTGGATGGGGTCCAAGGAAAGAAAGCCCTCAGGAGCCACTCGGAGTTTTATGGAGCTTTTCTAGGTAAAGTACCAATTACACTACTAGTGTTTATTATATTTTAATTAAACTAAACATATAATTATCACAGAATGTATTCCGCCTGGAGACGAAGCACCGGAAATGCTGATGAGCAAAGCTATGCAAAGGGTTAACAAAAAGAGTTTTAAAGCTAAAGTGCACCAAACCCTAAAAAAATGAATTAGAGACTGTGTAGGCTAGGCTAGATTTTAATATATATTTTAGTTTTGAATTTTTTATTAATCATTCATATAACACAATTTTGTATTTTATTATTTATTATAAAGCCAGCAAGCTGATGGTCAATCAGCTACAGGTAATCGAAGGGTGATCGATCGGGAACTAGTTGTTGACGATCTACTGGTAACTAGGTCGGAACTAGCTCATAAACAACTAGCTACTGGTAACACTAGTCAACACGATTTTTCCTCAAGGAACAAAACGAACTTTTTCTTAAAGATTTGGGGCTTAGAAATGGTTTGATGATATTTTTTTTTTCTATGGCAGAACTTTTTTTTAAAGAATAATCACATAACTCTAGTATCTTACGTCTGGTTGTAAAAAACTTTGCTATTTTGAAAAGATAATTGAAACAGCTAGAAGTTGATGCCAAACACTTTGTGATTTCAGCTTACCGTCTGGGAAATATAAAGCATTGAAATGCAAAAATGATGATTTTTGTGGGGGATTTTTACGAAATTTTGACTTTAAAAACTCAGGAAAAGTCGAAAAAAAATTATATCTTGTGTCCTCTATTTTTTTGTGTATAGGTGCGTTAATTTGGCGTCGTTTAAGGTATCGCTCATTAAAATCTATGGAGAGACTTTCGGAGCTAAAATTCGTTAACCAAACCTAAAATATGGAAAAAATGAACAAAAAATACCTTTTGGAAGGTTGCGGGCCCAACTGCCAATTGGGAACAAAGCAAACGAACAAGGGTTGTACATTTGGTACCTGATCGCGTTATAATCGATCGGGAACCAGGGGTGGCTACGACCTAGGACATGAATGTGTTAAATTCTCCACTGAAATACATTGTTGGGGAAACGAAGCGGAACTAGGGACATGCAGTACCAGAAGTGAAAATGTCAACTACGCGTCATTCAGGATTTTTTTCTCTGCCGCTGCGGCAGACGAGCAGAATATCAAGTCGACGTCGCGATTGACGCGTCGGTCAAACCAAACTCTTTTTATACCCGTACTCAAAAAAGAGTTAAGGGGTATATTAGATTTGAGGTAAAAGTGGATGTGTGCAACGCAGAGAAGGAAACGTTTCCGACCCCATAAAGTATATATATTCTTGATCAGCATCAATAGCCCAGTCGATATAGCTATGTCCGTCTGTCCGTCCGTCCGTCCGTCCATCCGTCCGTCTGTTCGTCTCGATGAGCGCCTGGAACTCAGAGACTATAAAAGCTAGGGAAACCAAATTTGGTTTCCAGACTCATATGATATCACACTGCTACAAGTGTATTTCAAAATTTCGCCCCGCCCCCTTCCGACCAAACAAAGGACGAAAATCTGTGGCAGGCACAATTTTAAGGAAACGATAAAACTAAAACCGTATCGTGGAGAATGATGATATCTACCAGATTGCCGAATCTGAATCAGATCGGATCATAATTATAGCCAGAATGAAGAAATTCATTTTCAGTTGGTTCTTACGCCTACTTCAGGCAGAGCCCCGTACCTGTCTCTTTCTCGCTAGCACACTCTGCCGCGTTCAGTGCGCGAGCAACCCCTAGCGGAGGAGATGAAGAATCTAAATGGTACACCCAAATCAACCGTCAACGACTACAGACGTATTTTTTAATCGCTCCGCGGTGAAAATTCAATAAAGTCAATTAATCGCGATTAAATTCGCGAAAAAAAAAAAGCGCTCGGGGTAGGCATGGGTACTAGCGATCGTGCTGCCCATGAATACCATCCAATCGAGTAATAAAGACTAATAGAAATAATAGAAAAGAACAAGTGTCAACGTTTAAGAGCACAAGCTCGGTAAGGAACACAAGCACTGTAAGCAAAGCCAAAATGAGCCAAGCCCGGCAACAACAACAAGACGAGCGTCGGCTCTCGCAAGCAAAAAGCAACGCGTACTTCTCTATACGCTCGCCAAAGGCAGCAGTACCAACAAAAACTGCATCATTGCAAGTGAACGAGGAGAGAGCACGCTCTCTCCCCTGCATTGCAAAGTGGGTCATGGAGTGCTCAGTGCCCATCCCCGACTCGTACTGCCTAACCAGCGATTTGCTAATATCGACAACAACTAGTACAATGCCCTCGCTCAAAACTGTGTCTTCGACCACAACAACGACAACAACCACAACAACAACCACTGCAATTGCCCAGCGCCCGATACTGTCGACCCACTGCGACAAGCCCCAACTCTCCCAACCAATAAGCTCAAAAAATGCTAACGGAGCGTTAATTCAGACTGGGCTCGATCGCTATGTGCAAATCAAAAGAAAATTGAGCCCACAAAATGTGAAGAACAACAATGCATCCAAAATAACTAAAATAACCGAGAACACTGTGCCACATAAGGCACTAGCAAACAATAGATTTGCGATACTAAGTGTCCCAAACGAAGATGAGATCACCCAAACACCCAAGGCCAAAAAATTAAGACCGCCACCTATTTATGTTCGACAGGCAAATTGTGCTGAACTGGTCAAAAAAATAACTGATACAATTGGCGCAAACACATTCCATGTCACGTACATAAAAAGGGGTAATATAAATGAAACAAAAATACAAGTCAATGACGAACAAAACTATCGATCAGTTGCGAAATATCTCGAAAATGAAAAAATGAATTACTACACCTACCAACTTAAAAGTAGCAAAGGATTACAAGTGGTTATCAAAGGAATCGAACCAACAGTCCCAATCAATGAGATAATAGATGGACTTAACGATAAGGGCTTCGAAGTCAAAATGGTAATGAACATAATAAATAGAAACAAAATTCCTCAGCCAATGTTCAAAGTAGAACTGACACCTGAAAGTATGCATATAAGGAAAAATGAAGTTCACCCAATATACAAGCTTCAATACCTACTGCACCGTAGGATCACCGTTGAGGAACCACACAAACGAAATGGACCGGTCCAATGCACAAATTGCCAGGAATATGGACACACGAAAACCTATTGCACTCTACGGGCAGTCTGCGTTGCCTGTGGTGATGTTCATCTCACTGAGGCCTGCCCCGTAAATAAGGAGGACCCATCTGCCAAAAAATGTAGCAACTGTGGGGGAAACCATACTGCCAACTATAGAGGTTGTCCTGTCTATAAAGAATTGAAAAATCGCCTAAACCAACAAATAACTGCAGCTCGTAACCCGGTCGTCCGACAAAACTTAACATATATACCATCAACTACGACTCCAGGAGTTTCTTTTGCTCAGGCGTTAAGTTACAACAACGGGTCGTACGCCTCAGTCTCTAAGCCGACACTTCAACCAACCACAGCTGGAATAATGCAGAATCAGGCATCAAATCAGATCCCAGAAATCTCTGCCCAACATACCCCTGCTAATCCATCCCAATTGCCTAGTGGAATTGAGTCAATGCTGGTAACTATAACAAATACAATGGTAGCAATACAACAAACGATGCAGGAGCTTATGCGCAACCAAAATCTCCTCCTGGAGCTCCTAATCAAACAGAAATCTGTTTAAATGTCCTGTCTAAATATATGTTTCTGGAATGCAAATGGCATTTCTCAGCACAAATGCGAGCTCTTACAGTTCCTCGCTCAACACGACATTGACGCCATGCTCATATCAGAGACTCACCTAACAAATAAAAACTATTTTCACCTCAATGGCTATAACTTCTATGCGACAAATCATCCCGATGGTAAGGCACATGGAGGTACTGGCGTTCTGATCAAGAATCGCATTAGGCATTATCCATTGCCTTCATTTGCTACACCTTATCTACAGGCAACAGCAATTCATATTGAAATTCAGAGCGGCTACCTAAACCTAGCCGCAGTATACTGCCCACCACGTTTCTGCATTTCCGAAACAGAATTTGTAACATTCTTCGACCTACTAGGTTACCGATTTATAGCAGCTGGTGACTACAATGCCAAGCACACCCATTGGGGATCTAGACTTACCAACCCGAAAGGAAGACAACTATATAACGCTATAATAACCCCACGAAACAAGCTAGACTTTATCTCTCCGGGCAAGCCCACATATTGGCCCACAGATCCAAACAAGCAACCCGACTTGATTGATTTTGCAGTTACACGAAGGGTGCTGCAAGCTCAGATTAATGTAGATCACTTAACAGATCTATCATCGGATCACTCGCCCATTCTACTTCACCTTTACGACCATCCACAGCATTCGGAACGCCCACACTTTCTAACTTCTAGCAAAACAGATTGGCTCAAATACAGGAAGTACATAAGCTCTCATATTGATAGCTGCCCAAACATTAATTGTAAAGATGACATTGATAGGTCAGTCGAAGCATTGGTTTCCTCAATGTCACTGGCGGCAAAACACTCAACACCAATATTAGCATCTAATAAACATTCCAACAGCAGTCGTATTTCTAGGCACATTGAAGTGCTGCTACGCGATAAAAGAAGGCTTCGCCGAGAGTGGCAAGCACACAGATCACCTGCATCGAAAGAGCGGCTAAAAATAGCCAACCACCTACTACGCAGAGCCCTAGAAGATGAAAAAAACCGAGCTCAAATATCCTATATGGAGCAACTCTCCCCAACTAGCAAACGATTCCCACTGTGGAAAGCAAAATCAGGCGTATGCCCACCAATCGAGAGTGAATCACCTTTGCGTACACAAACAGGAGAGTGGGCTCGCAGCAACAAAGAGAAGGCAAATACATTTGCCGTCCATCTAGAAAACGTCTTCAAACCGCACCCAGCAACGAATAGCTTTGTGCTCCCACCAACCAACAATCCCGAAGCTACTCCGCCTATCATATTCCAAACAGGAGAAGTCACAAGGGTCATTAAAGACCAAATCTCAAAGCAAAAGAAAGCTCCGGGCCACGATTTCATCTCTCCTAAAATGATCATAGAATTGCCGAGCTGTGCAGTGTATTTTCTTACTATGATATTCAACAGCATGATGAAATGGGGCTATTATCCTCAAGAATGGAGGAAATCAGTCATCACAATGATCCATAAAGCCGGAAAAGACAAGTCCAAGCCATCATCATATAGACCTATCAGCCTACTGC